ATTTAACAAGCTCGGGCAAAGCTTGTCCAAGCTTGAGCTTGGCTTTTTAATAAACGCGCCGATGGGCTCAGCTTGGCTTGGCTCGTTAACTGCCTAAAACAAGAAAATTGAATATTTTGATGATACTTACCCAAAAAATATTACGTGGATAACGAATTTGTAAAATACGCACATGATACTAAAAAAATTGAAGCAGCTTTCTAGAACCTAAACATTATATACCATCCAATGAACTTCTGAACACCATTATCAATTGCAACTACGATGCCTAAATTCCTAAAATGAATCTCAAGAATGCCCAGTAAAAGGGCCACTAATTATATTTTTGGATAGCATATATTATGACATTGCCGACCCCAAATAATTGGGATAACACTCAGATAATGATGATACAATACATTACTGCAACCACAAATGGTTCAAAGAGACGTAATCACAAGAAGACTACAAACCTTAAGACCAATACAAAACGTGTGCAACTGAGAACCCCATTGTTTAGCAACTTTTGTTTCTGCCAAATGACGTGAAGCAACAGAAGCAACAAGGGATGAATCCAGTCCTCCAGATAAAAGTACTCCAAATGGAACATCTGTCATGAGCCTCTTCACCACAGCCTGCATGATGTAGAATGGGCCGAAAACTATAAGATATACTCTAATTTCCGAAGAAGCACGATAGAGGAAATAACATGATATCCTAAATCAAGTCATAGAATTAAAAAAGTCGAATTGTGTTGCATGTATGTGTCTACACACATAGAGAAGCAGCATACCATTATAGGAATATCTTATTCTTGGTAACATAAGACTTTAAAAGTAATGATCAACTCATGAATCCACTTGAAGGTATTGAACAGTTCATTTTGTGAGAGTTATTTCCTTGATATGATGCCATCTTTAAAATGTTTTCCTCCCCAGAAGAAAATTGAAATTTTGATGGTAGTGTGGAAGGAAATCTAGTTCCAAAATGCTGAACAACAAAAACAGGAGCATAAATCAAGGGCATCGGGAAATAGTATGCCTGTAAAGAAAAATGAGATATGGTACCCAGATATCATGTTAAGATTTCCAAAAAAGAAAAATATGTTGCAATTTAATCAACCAGGTGAGGCAAATACCATTGATTTGGGTTCCCTTAAAACAAGGTGGAGAATCACATATTTTATAGAAACAAAAGATCACTAATGTCTATAAACACAAGTTCAGCCAGATATTGATTCAACAACTGCCAGTATTACTTTCTACTGTCTACCACTTACATTCACATCCACACTCATAGACAATAACATATACACAAAACACATGCACAGTTTCTGCATGTCTATGCATACTTATCTTGGAAAAAGGAAAGAATTACTAGGCAAGAAGGTTCAGTTGTGCAAGACGTAAGAGAACACCAACTCTGAATATCAGTGTATATTAATTTATTGTGTCGAAAACTTGAAAGCAAATGAAAAATAAAAAATAGAAGAGATGCAAAACATGCAGTAAAACTCGAAAAGTGAATACTATCATAGTTGGGTCTCTCACAGAAATAATGGTAATGGTAATGGAAGAAAAGTTCAAAACATGCCTTCTCAAAAGCTTCACGCAAAACCAATGGATCATAGGTAGTCGCAGGTATACGTTCCGAATACCAGGGTGGGTTGAACCACCTTCTGAGATCCCCTACAGAGTAAAAACATAACAACAACAACAACAACAATAATAATAATTGTTTATCAAAAAAAAAAAACAATAATAATAATATTTTAATTAGTTCGTACATTTGCAAAATTCATTTAAAACGAACATCATCAAAGTTGCACGATTCCAGAAACTTCTAATTCATTCTCTTTAAGAATTACAGTTGACAAGAAAAAGCAACTTGTTTGAAAACTGCTCCAGTTAATTGCAATCTGTAATGGCCAAAAATCAAATCTAACTTTCATGAATCAAACTGCGGTCCCAGATGTTTGGAAAGTGAGTCATACCAGTTTTACTTGAATAAATATGGCCAGGGGGGAAAGTTCTAAAGCGTTCACAATCATCACTCAAAGCTTTCATTTCTGAAGCAAACCAGGTCGACCCTGACAAATATAAACAAAGCATCTTATATGAAAGAAGACTACAATGCAGAAGTATGAACTACAAATGTACAACAAAATCACGTACTCTTAGAAGGAAAAACAAATGTAGTAAAATACAAAATCCAATAAAAAAAAAAAACAGAATACACAAATGTAGTAAAATACAAAGTCCAATAAAAAAAAAAAAACAGAATACACAAGGGCTTGATGAAGAATTGATTCATGTATCCCTACCTCAGAAACTCCAGACCCTTCTTTTTTCTCAAGATTTATTGGTGTTACGGAAGAGATGGAATTGTGGAGCCCTCCCTTTTTGTTTTTTGTTAGAATAAACCACTTTGGCAAGGACTTCATCACTTGAAGGGGGAGGTTCTTCAGGAAACCCAAACCTCTCCAAAGGTTTTTATGACAACTACACTACAATGTGTATGGGGCATGTGTATAGAAACCCATAAAGATGCATGGTTGGAAACACAACATTTAGTGTGACCCAAAGCAAACTGTGAAAGTGGCAAGAAATGTATTTTAAACAAGTTCTCAAACTACTCTTTGATGGCATGACACGGTCTACCAAATTTCACGTTGAGCTAAATTTTCTATGATGTGGGGGCATGTTTCATGTACCATCTCTTGGATATTTTGTAGGTGTTTGATACTTGGTGGATTTTATGCATGTGTCTCAGATATCTTGAATCGTACACAGTAAGGAAATGAGAGACACATCTAGAAATACTCTGACCCAAAGGAGAATATAATGATTGAAATTTTTTTTTGGGGTAAGTAAAAGTGGTAAGTCAGTGGGGATATGGGCCCTTACCCTTTGGTGAGAATGGAGTCAGAGGCATCAGGGGGCTCGACCATACTACCGCCAAGGCCCCAGACCATTCTCAAATATAATGATTGAATTTCTTCAGGAAGACCGCACATGGTGGTATACAAAATCATTCTCTTCATCCAAGCCCTCAACTGAGGTATGTATATCATGAACAAGAGAAAAACCAGTAAAAGATTAATAAACCCCTGAACTATAGTGATTTCAGACAGGTACATATGACAAGAAACATGATACCACCTTCATTAGTGATTTCGGACATGTACATATGACAAGAAACATGAAACCTCCACCATAATCTAATGAGATCTTACGCAATAACAGCTGAATTTGTCTTCACACTGAGTAAACCAAAATCTAAGTGTTCATCCCATGCCTACTCACCTCAGGATTGGTTACCTTCTTAAACCCACACTCATGCATCCAGAAAGAAAAAAAGGAAAAAGAATCCATAGGTAGGACAACAATGTGATGTTGCCACCAGCCTACATACAAGCACAGTCTAATGTTGACTATAGCAAAAAAACATAGTTTCATTAGCCAAGATATCAAATTAAAGCTTTCAGCATGTCCAATAAATGAAAAAACATAGTAGCAAGTAAGAAGGAAAAACCATGATAAGCACAAATGTTCAGTGTGCCAAGAGAAAGACAGGTATGAAGAGCTTTCTTACAGCCAAAGAAACTGCATGAATCATAAGAGTTCCAACAAAGTTCCAGTATCTAATAAGTATCTAATAAGTACAAGCTTATCCTACTGATATATCAGACTATAATAGAATAAGTTAGGAATTGATCAATCTTCAAATGTATTCTAATCATTACCCTTCATCCTTACACAGAATAAGTAACTGTCGTGCTTTATGCTTACACAGAAAGAGTGGTCAACATGATAAGCCAAAGATGCCAAAACTTCTACCCAATGAATTCTATAATTGAAGCAAGTACACTGAGCCTAAAGGAGAACAGTTGCTAAGTAACATATCCAGTCTCCATAACAGAAACAAAAGACGCAAAAATAAATAAAGAAAAAGCAACACAGCAGTACATTAATATATTGTGAAATCATAGCATTTACTTATCATTGCTCTAACAATGCTTTCTAACAACAGAAAATGGGATCCAGTAATTTGCTCCAAGAAATAACCTAATTGAGTGACAGTTCAGAGATATCATTCAAACATGACAACAAATAGAAGAAAAATAGGAAATAGAACAAGGTAGGTGATTATCTTATTAAATAAAAGTAAATCCATGAATACTCAAGAGCTAAGTGTTAGCCAGGTTGGTCACCATCCACACATACCATCACGACCCCAACCCATGTAGAGTGGGGTGATACCAATGGCATCCCGAGCAGCAATGAAGCTTTTGTCACGTGTGTCAAGAAGAACGAAGGAAAACATGCCATCCAGCATGTCAACAAAGTCTTCTCCATATTCCTCATACTGTGAAAACAATCAAATGCATACAACCATCAACTCATAAAAGCATCATATTTACAAATAAATGTGATAGAATGATATTACATGGCGCATTCTTGGAAAACACAGACACATACACGTGCATGCGTGCACACACACACATACGCACGCACACGCGCATGTAGTGCACACACACACACACACATATTGGGTTTTCCTATGGTTAACACCCTATGAAATCCTACAGGTTACAGGTGTGAACCTTCTAACTTACTTTAGTTCCCCTTTTCTTCATTCAATGGCTATAAAGTGATTAATGGAATTGCGCCATTAAAAAGGGTACTGTTAATATTATCACTAAAAAAACAAGAGTAATTACGGATCAAAAGTCTAGGTACATTATTAATATAAATACCTTTCATAATCAAAATTTCAAAAATGTCCTTCTCAATTTGACGAAAATACATTTTTTCCTTTAGTAAAAACATCAATAATACCTTTCCCAAAGTCTAAGAAGAGTGAGGATCTTAAACTTTGCCTTAACCCGTCCAGCCTAGATAAAGGAGGTAGGTTGTATTACATAAGCAACCAACATTAAACTTTGCCAAAACTTTTCATGAATCCTAAATCTAGCCTTTCCCAATGACAAAAATGCCATGACTCATTTTATGGCAACGGAATAAAGAAAGGGGCACCTAAAGTAATTTTTACAGTTCAAAAGCCTTGTTAAAGGTAACATGTAGGATTTCATTGGATGTTAACCATAGAAAAACCCATATGTATATAGTCGTGGAGGCAAGG